TGTGGGGTCACTCCTGATGCAGACATGTCTGTGAATCTTATCCAAGATCCTTGACAAGTATTGCCTGGGCACCATTGCTGATTTTTCAGGGCTCAAGGGCACTTTAGTTAGCAAGTGATAAATCCTGTCAGAATTTGGTCCTCTTCAAGGCAGTGGGTTCCTTTCTGGCCCAGGTTGTGTCTAGAAACTTCATCTGGAAGCTAGGATCTGGAATGGGGGCCTCCGAAGTCTGCCTGGTATCCTACTGTGACTGAGCTGGTATCCAAGTTGCAAGACAAAGTGCTCTTTACTCTTCCCCTCCTCTCTTTAAGCAGAGGGAAGGAGTCTCTCCCAGAGCTGTGAGCTTTACTGCTTGAGGTTGTGGGAGTGGTGGCCTAGGCACTCCCTTGGCCACCCTAGCTTGTATCTTCCTAGGTCACATGCTCCCCAAGTCCATTGGCTCTGAGCCAAGCGTAACACCAGGATTTGCCCAGGAATTTCAGTCCTTGTGGCCTAGACTGCTTTTCAAGTTTATTTAGGACCCCGGAGCACTTTGGTCCATGGTGGCAAGGCTTGCTGGAACTCAGGTTCCAACCACTGGAATGGGCAAGTTCTGTCTGACTAGGGCTGGTCTAAATGCTTTCTCTGTGTGTGCTGGCTGAGTTCTGCCCTGTGTTGCTTTCCACTGTAACAGGGCAACACTGAGGTCCAGTGCAAAGTCCCACAATCATGGCACTCTTCCTCCCCCAAGGGCACAGATTCTGTCTCAGCACCATGCAGCCACTGCTGGGGGATGGCAGAGGGGTAGCATCAGCAATTCAAGACTTTTTCCTAACTTTCAGTGCCTCTTTCCTTGATATGAAATTAAAACCAGGTACTATGATAACTTGGCTGGTTTTTGCCTCGCAGGAAGGTGCTTTTACGTGTGAATAGTTGTTCAATTTGGCATTCCTGCGGGGAAGGCAGTCAATGGAGGCTTCTATTCAGCCATCTTGCTCCGCCTCCCTTTGTATAGAACTCAGATAGGTTATAACTAAATCTGTTGGGATATTAAAAACATAATTGACATATTTTAGCCCTGGATATTCATCCTTCAGTTTTAGGTGTTGGCAAGTGGCTGGAGAATATTCAACTGTCATAATCAAAAATACTTATGAGAGCTCTAGGAAGTTTACTTCCCAGGAATAAATACTGTGTTTAATTATATCTAATATTTACTTTGTTTTTCATCATTTTAATTTACTTTCAAAACTTTCCCAGAGTCAATACTTTAGGTTTTTATTTTTTATATAGAATAAGATGCTTTGTGTAACAAACAAAAATGAGCAAGCAAAAATGACCTCAAAGTAGCTTGGGTAAATAACATGGGGAAAAAAATGGCTTAAATTTCGGATTTGAAACACTGTAATTTCCATTTTCTGTTTCAAACTGTGCAATAGAGGAGGAAACAGTCCTAAATTTCTTATGGTGTGGCCACCAATAACCTGGATGATCTTGGGTATGTCATTATTTTTCTGAGTTTCAACAACTTGAAATATAAAAGGAAAAGGCTAAACTAAGTCATCTCTGTGGTTCTGAGAGTTCAAACATTCCATGATTCTGAAGATGAAATCTCTCTGTTATAGATCTGCATTTATGTCAAGGGAAATGTCATTGTGAATTTTTCATCATCATAGCAAAAAATGTGAAGTAGCAGACTGAGCAATACATGTGTATATTATGATGCAACCAGTCATCCCTTATTTATACAAATCTTGCAAGATACATGACAGTCAAAAGCCTTTCTATATTCAAGTATAAAAAAATCTATAAAATTATATTCAACTGGGTAGCAGTTTGTGCCTGGGGTTTTCATAGAGTTATATTTCTTTTCTGTGTTCAGAGAAGGGTTTTCTAAATGAATATAAGATATGGGACACTTTATTTGGCAGTATCTTTTAAACTGAGGGGTAAAATTATGTAAATGTAGCTCATGACTTATTCCCTTTATTTGTTTCATTAAGCATGGTTTTTATTTTGTCAGAAAATAATATATATATTTTGTCATCATAGAAATGAGTTTCAAATAGGAATAAGGAAAAAGATTACAGATTTAGCCCACATGCAACAAATCTGACGTATGAAAACCTAAATTATTCATTTTTGCCCAAATATTTATAAATAGGAATTTATTTCTCAAGAATCATACTACTATAGACCATTTAACCCAATATGAATTCATTCATTTATAATTAAAACAAATTCAATTTCTACACAATTTTTAGGATTTCATTTATTGCTTAAAGTCAACTTAATGTAGTTAAGCAACTTTTGATTTTTTAAATGAAACTACAAGTAAAATTTCCATTTGATGAGGTGAGAGAATTGCTTCAGCCTGGAAGATCAAGGTTGCAGTGAGCTATGATCGTGCCTCACTCCAGCCTACATGACAGAGCAAAACCTTGTCTTAAATATATATGTATATTTAAGTCTAAAACCTTAAATGTGTATATATTTAAGACAAAAACCTATATGTAAAACAAAACCTTTTCTCGTATATATATATATTTGAGAGTTGTAATAGCATTGAACTTGAAAATAATTGAAAATAAGGGGACAAATAAAAGTTTAAAAAATTAGGTTAATAGGAAGCAGTAAAAGGACTACTGTTTCCATCTAAAACTTGGAAGCTGAATAGACTAAGAAAAATACAAAATCAAAATAGTGGCCTGATTTTGGAATTTAAGGATTAAGAAAGGGATCCCCTTCCTCAACGTGCCCCTCTTTTTCTGTCTTCTACTCACCACACATTTATAATTGGGAACAATAGGTTCATTTACATTTTGTTTCCCATATGGGAGAAACTGAGATCTGGAAGTTCTTTGAAGATTTTGCTACATTAGGAATTCAAATAGGATTGTTCAGCTGATAATGCTGAGTTTCTAGATTGGCAAACTTCATATTGGCCTACATCTCCATAAAAATGTATTTAAGAAATTGAACATTCTTTGTGTTCGGGGTCAGGAGGGTTCTAAAAATGAAAAAGAAGAACTGATTCATTTTGCGCCCACCTTGAGCTTAAAATTGTGTTAGTCACTTCGTTTGTAAGGCTGATAATATTTTCTGTATTTCACTGAATCAGGCATTAAAACCCCTTTCTGCCTAGTGTTCCATTACAGGAATGCTAAGCATGTGGGAGTTATTTATATCCTGCTGCTCAAAGTCATCAGCAAGGTCTGATTGCAAAAATTAAAAAAAATCACAACCTCAGGCATAAATAGGTTAATGCCTGGCAAGTATAGCAGCCGGGCCTCAAACCCAACCATCAGATTTAATACATCATCTCTTGTCATATACCAATTCCCTAAAATATAGTCCTAGTCTACAAGTTGCTTATCTGCTGGTGTTTTCTTATGACTGTAGAAAAATTAACACTTGTGGGTGTGGTAATTAACATTAGGGAAATATAAAATGGTGTTGGAGGAGATCAGGGTAGGAAATGATTGTATTTATTTAACGGAGCAACTGGAAAGTCTTCATGGGAAAAATAGTATTTCAGACCAGTTCTCAAGAAATGAGAGAATTTTAACAAGTAGAGATAGGCTTGGGGGGATTCTAGAAGAAAGGAAGGACTCAGCTAAAATTACATAGGCAAGAAAGTACAAAAGTAATCATGAAAAAGAAATTAGAGTTTTTTGGAGGTTTTAAAGTAAAAGAACCAAGGAGTTATTAAATACTAAGAAAGTATTTAGTTTAAAAGACATTTAAAGAGGATATTGAATAGAAGTACTATTTTAAAAGACTTTGAGGAAAGTTGTGACTAGTTAAGAAAGATTAATATTGCCTCACAAAGAGACCAAAAGTACAGAGCTCAATTAGGAAATAATCATAATAGACCAAATATATGTGGGTCTTGGCAACTGATTGTATGTGACAGTGTAAGAGGTGTTAGAGACACTTTTCTTGTATTCTTTTCTGTTCTTTTCCTTTTTAACTACTAAAATGTTACTTCCTTTTGTACTAGTTAGTATTTTCTTATATTAAAGTTTCCCTGATCAAATTACTGGTGTGGTTTCTGTCTCTGACAGGATTCTCACAGACACATTATTGTTCTATATATAATAGATATATAGATGTAGCATTGGGTAAATTCAGAGTGTGCCTTCTAAATTTTGGTATATTTTCTTTTCCAAGCACTAACAATTTATCATCATGCAGCAGAATCTATATCCAAATTTAGTCCAAGAACCCAAGTTACCCAAGTATATGCTGAAATAAAAACACCATAAAATTCCTCTACTGAAATGAATACGAAAAATGTATAAAAATATTTTTTCTCTTTTGCAGCAGGCATATTGAAGAAACAAATATTTGAATAAGAACAAGATAGAATAAAAAGGACTTGAGATTTAACTGTGATTTGTTGAAATTGTATGATCTAAGATAGATAAATCATCAAATGAAGAAATCAAACACAAAATATGTTTTGTCAATCCTCTATGTTCACACTAGTGAAGAGAAATAAAAATATTGGTTAGTTCTTGGAGAAATTATTGTTTTTTTCTAGAGACATAGCCCGGGGACATTCTATGATCTAGACCAGAGGTAAGAAATTATGGCTACAGGTTGACCTCCTGTTTTGTAAACAGAACTCTAAAGACAATTTACATGTTGTTTATACCTGCTTTTGCTTCACAGTGCAGAATACAGTAGTTGTGACAGGGACCACATTACCCCCAAAGTCTCAAATATTTACTCTCTGTTCCTTCAGGGAAGTTTACCAACCCTGGAGAACATCAAATCTCCTTTTCTTCCCTCTTGGCAATTGAAGCTTGAAAGAAGCTAAACAAATGGGCATGGATGTGTTTCAATAAAACTTTATTTACAAAACCCAGCTGCAGGCTAGATTTGGCCTAGAGGCTTTAGTTTGCTGACTCCTCTAGGGCAGAGTAGGTATGTTATAAATATTTGCTGAACAAATGAAAAAAATGGATTGCTTTTACATTCTAAAATTGCCTGCACGTTCTCTTCTTTTTTTTCAGTGTGTGTGGTATCTACATGAGACGCATGTGATGACTGGAGACTAGGCATTATGAATGACTTAGGAAACCTCTGGAGGGTGCCTGCTTTGTGGCCATAAACCACTGTGCCCATGTGGAAAACATTGCAGTCCTGGGGCAGAAGATAAACTTCATGCTTGATAAAAAACAACCAAAAGGTAAGGTTTTCTTCTGGTGTGCTGCAGTGTTTAGTCTTCTTCTGTTTTCCATTCCCACTGGCAGTTCAAAGATGTCCTTAATCCATCATACGCCTCTTGAGTGTGTGCTGTGGGTTTACTGTCATGATGAAAAACTACTTCATGAACTTAGTGAAGGAACTTGGGATTGAGTCCGAGCTGCTTACATAGCTTCTGGGGAAAATATCACCCAAATATGGGGGAAACAATCCAACAGGCACTTCAAGTATTTGTTTTGAAATAGAAATATTGACGGTGGTACATATATATATATATTTTTTTCCAAAGGTGTTTGTTTGTTCCATAAATCCAGATAGGTAAATTTCATTAGTGAACTTCTGATCACTAACTTGATGATGCTACCTTTATTATGTCTCAAATCTGCCCCCGCACCTCTATCCTACTACTGCTAGTATAATTCAGACCCTCTCCCCTGAACTGTTACCTTAGATTCCTCATGTGTCTAATTTGTTTTACCTTTCTCAGCTAGATTAATCTTCCTGAAGCACAAATCCAATCATGTCAATATTTTTCTCAGAAACAAAATAATATCCCTTTGCCTGGAGAATAAAGCCTAATCTTAGCCAGTTGACTCAGCTCAGGCTCCATTTATCTCCCCCATTCATTACCTCTCCTGCTTATAACCAATTACTGGCATACCTCAGAGACATGATGGGTTCAGTTCCAAACCACCATAATAAAGTGAATATCTCAATAAAGCAAGTTACACAATTGTTTTGGTTTCTCAGTGCATATAAAAGTTATGTGTACATTGTAGCTTATTAGGGTACAGTTGAATTATGTCTAAAAAAATCTATATACCTTAATTTAATAAAAACTAGCATATTACTAAAAGTTCTAACAGTCATTTGAACCTTCAGCAAAGTATAAACTTTTTGCTGGTCTTGCCTTAATGTTGATGGCTACTGACTCGTCAGAGAAAATGATTGCTGAGGGTTGGAGTGGCTGTGGCAATTTCTTAAAAAAATGAAATTTGCCACTTCAATTGACTTTTCCTTTCACAAAAGCTTGCCCTGTAGCATGTGATGCTGTGTGATAGCATTTTACCCACAGAAGAACTTCTTTGAAAATTGGAGTCAATCCTCTCAAACCCTCATGCTTCAACTTAGTCACTAGCTGCATTAACCCTTGCTAACAAGAGAGTCAACCTGTCCTTTGAAGTTTGAAGCCAGGCATTGACTTCTCCTCTCTAGCTATCAAAGTCATAGATGGCATATTCTTCCATTTTAAGGCGGTTTCATTTGCATGAAAAAGCTGTTGTTTAGTGTAGCCAGCTTCATCGATGGTCTTAGCTAGATCTGGATAACTTGCTGTAGCTTCTACATCTGCACCTGCCTGCCTCATCTTGAATTTTTATGTTATGGACAGGGCTTCTTTTCTTAAACCCCATAAACCAACTTCTGTTACTGTCAGACAAAAGACTTTTCTTCTGCAGCTTTCTCCCCTCTTTCAATCTTCAGAGAACTGAAGAGAGTTAGGGTCTTGCTTTTGATTAGGCTTTGGCGTAAGGGAATGTTGTGGCTGGTTTGAACTTCTATCCACATGGCAAGTGACCATGGCCCATGATATAGACCTCAGGAAGTCTCAATATGCCCAAGGTAGTGGGGGTGCAGCTTGGTTTTATACATTTTAGAGAGGCATGAGACACCAATCAAATACATTTAATAAACACATTGGTTTGGTCCAGAAAGCAGGACAACTCAAAGTGGGGAGGGGAGGGGGAAAGGGGTGGATTCCAGGCTGTAGGTAAATTTAAACATTTTCTGGTTGACAGTTGGTTGCATTTATCTAAAGACCTGGAATCCATAGAAAGGGAGAGTTCAGGTTAAGATAAAAGATTTGGAGACCAAAGTTATTTTGAAGTCTTGTAGTGGCTGCCCTTACAGACAGTAGACGACAAAGTTACCTATTCAAATGTTAGTTAATCTCTTTAGGATTGGGAGCGTCTGGAAGAAAAAGAACTAGCTATGTTAATAGAGATTCTTTATAGAGGCAAATTTTCCCCCACAAAGAACAGCTTTGCAGGTCCATTGCAAAATAAGGCAAATAAATATGTTTTGGGGTGAAGTATTTTTATTTATTTCCTTTTCTCATAATGTTATGCCAGAGTCAGGTTGGAAAGTAAGTCATGATATATAAGGTTAAATAAAACCTATCTGATGAGAATTTATCATTTGTAGGGCCTGATTCCCCAGACTCCTCAGATAGGCATTCGGGCAAGATTTAAAAAAAAAAAAAATCAGAGTTGGCCGGGCACGGTGGCTCATACCTGTAATCCTAGCACTTTGGGAGGTCTAGTTGGGTGGATCACGAGGTCAGGAGTTGGAGACCAGCCTGGCCCACATAGTGAAACCCCATCTCTACTAAAAACACAAAAATTAGCCAGGCATGGTGGCAGGCACTTGTAATCCCAGCTACATAGGAGGCTGAAGCAGGAGAATCGCTTGAACCCAGGAGGTGGAGGTTGCAGTGAGCTGAGATCATGTCACTGCACTCCAGCTTGGGCAACAGTGTGAGACTTTGTCTCAAAAAAAGAAAAAAAAAATCGGAGTTTAGTCCTCACAGACCACTAAAACTTCTTTCATGTCGGCATAAGGCTATTTTACTTTCTTATCATTTGTATATTCATTGGAATAGCACTTTTAATTTCCTTCAAGAACTTTCCCTTTGCATTCACAACTTGGCTGTTTGGCACAAAAGGCCAACCTTTGGGCCTATTGTGGCTTTGAAAATGCCTTCCTCACTAAGATTAATTATTTCTAGCTTTTGATTTAAAGTGAGAGACCTGCGACTTTTCTTTTCACTTGAGAACTTAGAGACCACTGTAGAGTTATTAATTGGCCTAATTTAAGTATTTTTATGACTCAGGGAATAGGGAGGTCCAAGAGAGAAAGAGAAATGGGGGAGCAGCCTGTTGGTGGAGCAGTCAGAACACACACAACATTTGTTATGTTTACCATGTTACTTGGGCATGGTAGGTATCACCCCAAACCAATTATAATAGTAACATCAAAAATCATTGATCACAGAGCACCATAAAGGATATAAAACAGTGAAAAAGTTTAAAAATATTGCAAGAATTAGCAAAATGTGACGCAGAGACACAAAGTAAACATATGCTGTTGGAAAAATGGTGCCGATAGACTTTCTTGATGCAAGGTTGGCACAAACCCTTAATTTGTAAAAAAAAAAAAAAAAAAAAAAAAAAAAGAAACCATTATTGGAAGTGCAGTAAAGTGAAGCACATTAAAAGAAAATGCTCCTGCACTTCCTTTCATGGAAGGTGGCCAGATGAAATACAGGAAATCCACTTAATTTGAATTTTATGTAACAAGCTTTTTAGGATAAATAGATCTCAAATATTGTGTGAGAAATATTCAGAGGAAAAAAGTATTCATTATTTATCTGAAATGTAAACTTGAGTGTCCTGTATATTTATTTGCTAAATCTGACAACCCTACTTTCATGTCCACCATGTTTACCAGATTAAAATAATTTTGTTCTTGTCTGGGCATGTTGGCTCACACCTGGAATCCTAACATTTTGGGAGGCTTGAGGTCAGGAGTTCGAGACCAGCCTGGCCAACATTGTGAAACACTTTCTCTACTAAAAATACAAAAAATTATCTTGGTGGAGTGGTGCACGTCTGTAATCCCAGTTACTTGGAAGGCTGAGGCGGGAGAATCGCTTGAGCCTGGGAGGCAGAGGTTGCAGTGAGTGGAGATCATGCCACTGCCTTCCAGACTGGGTGAAAGGCAAGACTACGTCTCAAAAAACAAAAAAAAAAAAAACAAAAAAAAACTTTGTTCTATGTATCTCATGCTTTTCAGCTGTTCTGATTTGGCCAAATTACCCCCTAACTACCTAGATGCCATAAATAAAAGTATAGGGCATAGTACATCAACACCTCTTTTGCAAAGTCGACATGACGTAGAGAAAAGGATATAGATGGGATAGCAGGAGATATACTTGGATTATCCTTATGGCTCCAACTTGGCCAGCTCTGTGACTTTAGAACAAATGACTTAGTTTATCTAGCCTTCAGTTTCTTCATCTACACAGTGAGGATAATAACACCAACTTCACATGATTGTTTTTAGAATTAAGTGTGAAACTTTAAAAAAGCTTTATAAAAACATATAACTCATTGAAGCACTTCAGTAAATGACAGCAAATTATCAATTTTCTCCTCATGTCAGTGCTTCTCAAACTTGAGAACCCTCAAAGTACCCACCCCTGAAATGTATCTGTGGATTCCAATGTAAGAAGTATTTCATTAATTAGTTCAATGTAGAAGTGGTTACTGTAGATGATCATTTCAAATCTTACAACCATAAACACTAATCAGACTTAAGCAATAAAACTTGGTGGTAAAACAAGGTCACTAAATATTTATCTAGATAATCCAGAATAGAATTTTATTTTTAGTTTCTCAACAAAAACAAAATATTTTATAACTGTCATAAAAAACTTTATGGAGTCACAAGAATATACCAATAGATCCTCATTACAGAGACACTGTAGTCTATCACACTACTAGACAGATTGTCTTTGGAAAGGCTACATTTTTGGGGTCTCTGTTTCTTCTCCATGGAGTCTTCTGCAGAGTGGAATGTTATGTTGACTTTTTGAAGAATTCAGAATTATAGGCTTTAAGTGGCGACTTATTTGTACGTTCAGCCAATTTACCACTGCATTCAAAGCCCTTTCTTGATTATTTTATTCATATCACCTCTGCTAGGTAGGAAATGGGTTATGTGGCTTTGGCCATGGAATACTGGACATTTGACCTGGCTGGCACGTACTGAGTCAACCACATTTTCTCTCGCAGGATACCAAAATTGTTGTTAGTCTCTGGTGGGTGCTTAAAATGAAAGTTGTTCTTTGGCTCCCATAGGGCATCTGAATTCTGCTGGGAAAAGCAGAGGGTGATAGTAATGCAGTAGTTACTGAATATAAGT